TTAGCTGGTTATAAAGTCATTCACAACTGTAGGCCTAATAAAAAAGGAGTTGGCACAGCTATATATTACCAAAATACCTTCATCTGCAATAGTGTCATTAGTGATATATACGACTACTTTGAATATACCTTTGCTCAGTTCTAAAATAAATCCTCCTTGACTATCGGAACTATCAATAGATTTCCCAATTCTAATATAGTTTCATTCTCAGATAACCTAAAGAATCTCATCATAAACAATAATCTCAACAAAAATCACATCATTCTAGGAGGAGACTTCAATATTGACCTTGGTCAGCAAAATAGCCCCCAAGTCGACTATTTCGTAAACAGCATGAACTCCTGTATGCTAATCCCCACAATCACCAAGCCCACCCGAGTCACTCAAACATCTGCTACTACCTTGGATCACTTATGGGCTAACATAACAGCTCCCCTTGCATCTGGTATAATCATTGACAGAACAACTGACCACTAGCCTACCTTCCTCATAGCAAACATGAGCATAACACCACCAGAAAACAAGAAACATACATTCAGGCTACACAGTGAAGCAGCGATAGGCAACCTCACAAATACACTTCACAATATTTACTGGGAATCTGAATTTAATAATACACAGGATATAAATTCATTTGCTAACCTCTTCCTTTCCAAAACTCTAAGCCTCTACAACATTCATTGTCCCCTCATCACCAAGCAAATAACTGACTAAAGAATAAACAATCCTTGGCTCACAAGTGGTATACTCAAAGCAATCAACAAGAAACATGAATATGAAAAAACTTAGGATTGGCCTAGTTACAAAGGAAGTAGTTAAAAGTACTCATCAATGCTTACCAGTATCATAAGAAAAGAAAAACTTTCCTATTATGAGAGTAGATTCAAAGAAGCAAAAGGCAACATTAAAATCCTGTGGAAAGCCATCTCTAACATCCTAGGAACTAAATAACACTCATATAACCAGATAAAACTCTCAAAGGATGGTTATACACTTGCAACTAATTTAGAAACGGCAAATGAATTTAATAGCTTCTCTTCATCGGTTGGTGCTAACCTTACCAGTAAAATCCCTCAGTCTCAGACACATGTTACCACATATCTCTCAGGTAGCTATTCAAACTCTTTTCCTTTCACCAGTCAGCCCGACAGATGCTGTGTCCATTATACACTCACTAAAAACCAAAGCTGGGAACATTAGTAAAATACCATTCATCGTATACAAGAGTACCTCCCATGCCCTTGCGCCACCCATTGCTCTGCTGTTCAACAACTCTCTAGTGTCATACCTTCTCTGATATCTTAAACTGGTTGAGAGAGGTACAGTCTTTAACATGATTGGGAAGGTCATTCCACAATCTGGGTCCCTTGATTTGTAGAGCATTTCTAGTTTGATGAAGTCGTACTCTTGGAATATCAAAAAGGCATTTGTTTCTGGTGTGGTGCTCATGGGTTCTGTTACAACCTTCAATGAAACTTTTAAGGTCAGGATTGACATTACAGTTCAGCGTTTTATATATACTATATATATATATATATATACCCACAACCAAACCATCGCCAGAGAAATCCTAGTAAACAACACAGAAATCATCGATAGATACAGCGATAGCAGGCGGCTTGACGTCTGCGAGGCACTACACATTAAGAAGTCAACACCAGCAATCAACAGCCAATTAATGCACAACTATATTCTACCCACCTCAAGACTCCGCTCCAATATAGAAGCATCAAGAAATATGGACCAATAGGCTTTCTACAATCACTTCCATTCAATACCCATTGTTTCGTGTTCTGTCTTGTGTTTAGGAATTTAATACCCTATTAATACCACCTCACCCCATCCACCTCACTCAAATGTAGATATAAACAAATCGAAGATGTGTAAGTTCTATTCAGTTGTGTATGTGTAAACTAAAGTCTTTGAAAATGTAATAAGTTTTACGAAACGCGCTCAAGTGTCGCGTCAGACTAGAAATAAAAATGAATTTTGGAGAATTGATTTTTTAATTACCTCCAACAGTGAAAAGAAATGTACGAAAGATTGAGAAAATTCGTGTTAGAATTATTAATCCTACTTTTTCGGTCATATTTAATAATATATATATATATATATATATATATATATATATATATATATATATATATATATATATATATATATATATATATATATATATATATATATATATATATATATATATATATATATATATATATATATATATATATATATATATATATATATATATATGTCGTACCTAGTAGCCAGAACGCACTTGTCAGCCTACTATGCAAGGCCCGATTTGCCTAATAAGCCAAGTTTTCATGAATTAATTGTTTTTCGACTACCTAACCTACCTAACCTAACCTAACCTAACTTTTTCGGCTACCTAACCTAACCTAACCTATAAAGATAGGTTAGGTTAGGTTAGGTAGGGTTGGTTAGGTTTAGTCATATATCTACGTTAATTTTAACTGCAATAAAAAAAATTGATCTCATATATAATGAAAGGGGTAGCTTTATCATTTCATAAGAAAAAAATTAGAGAAAATATATTAATTCAGGAAAACTTGGCTTATTAGGCAAATCGGGCCTTGCATAGTAGGCTGAGAAGTGCGTTCTGGCTACTAGGTACGACATATATATATATATATATATATATATATATATATATATATATATATATATATATATATATATATATATATATATATATATACTATATATATGAGAGATGATAGACGATCATTGGTGCGGTGGTCACGGTACTGTGTACGTTTAGGGGTGATCCTGGACGGCATGGGTTCGAATCCTGGCCGGGTCAAAGAGTTCTTAGTGAGTTCATGCATATATATATATATATATATATATATATATATATATATATATATATATATATATATATATATATGTCGTACCTAGTAGCCAGAACTCACTTTTTGGCCTACTATTCAAGGCCCGATTTGCCTAATAAGCCAAGTTTTCCTGAATTAATATATTTTTTCTAATTTTTTCTTATGAAATGATAAAGCTACCCATTTCATTATGTATGAGGTCAATTTTTTTTTATTGGAGTTAAAATTAACGTAGATATATGACCGAACCTAACCAACCCTACCTAACCTAACCTAACCTATCTTTATAGGTTAGGTTAGGTTAGGTAGGCGGAAAAGTTAGGTTAGGTTAGGTTAGGTAGGTTAGGAAGTCGAAAAAGCATTAATTCATGAAAACTTGGCTTATTAGGCAAATCGGGCCTTGCGTAGTTGGCTGAGAAGTGCGTTCTGGCTACTAGGTACGACATATATATATATATATATATATATGAATATATATATATATAATACTCATGAGAGGATGTGCAGAGATTTGAGTAGGGATACCGAGTGATGTCTAGGGCCAGAGTTGGATATTATCCTAATAGCAGCTTTGTGTTGAGTAATTAGAGGACGAAAATGATTTTGGGTAGTAGAACCCCAAGCACAAATGCCATAGTTGAGATAAGGATAGATGAGAGAGTAATAGAAAGTCACCAGGGCAGGGCGGGGTACATAATATCTGATCTTAGAAAGAATGCCAAGAGTTTTCGAAACCTTTTTTGATATATTTAGAAAGTGTCCCTGAAAATTCAACTTGTGGTCAATGAGAACGCCAAGGAATTTGCCATCTACTTTGTTACAAATTTAGGTACTGTTTATCCTGAGATTTATTTGATTTGAGGATTTATTGCCAAACAAAATATAGAAAGTTTTGTCAATGTTGAGGGTAAGTTTGTTGGATGTTAGCCAAAGATGGACTTTATTTAGCTCATTATTCACTGTGACATTTAAAGCAAAGGGGGTCAAGACTGGAGTAAACGAAGGTTGTGTCGTCAGCAAATAGAATTGGTTTGAGGTGTTGGGAGGCATTTGGAAGGTCATTAATGTAGATGAGAAAGAGGAGAGGGCCAAGTATGCTGCCCTGAGGAACACCAATGTTGATGGGTAGGGTGGGAGAAATTGAATTATTCACAGAAACATACTGGAGCCTGTCAGTAAGGTAGGATTTGAGGTATTGCAGGGAGTGTCCTCTGACTCCATAATGATGTAATTTAAGAAGAAGGTTTTGGTGGTTGACAGTGTCAAAAGCCTTACGCAGGTCCACAAATAACCCAACAGAGAACTCATTTTTATCAAGAGCTGTATGAATCGAGTTAAGCATACTAATAAGTGCATCGTTAGTGCTTTTTTTGGGTCTGAAGCCATGTTGGCAAGGGCTAAATATATTGTGTTTGGCTAGATAAGAGTAAAGCTGCTTGTAGATTAGTTTTTCAAAAATTTTTGACAAGTTTGGCAGGATTGATATAGGTCTGTAGTTGTTAACATCTGTGAGATCACCACATTTGTGGACAGGCGTTACTCTCGCTTTTTATAGGATATCTGGAAAGGTTTGGAGTTCAAGTAACTTGTTGAAGAGCTATGCAATAGCAGGGGCTAAAGATCTGGAGGCTTTTTTGTAAATTAAAGTTGGTATCAACTTTGGTAATCATCAGGGCAAATGGAGGGACCTTTAACAAACTTAGGCCTCCTGTCTTCGTCGAGGCCACTGGAGTGTTAATGGCCCTCACGTAAACTCAGATAAATTCAGGTAAAGGGTAGCCTCTAAATTAAGAGAAAGCAAGAGAAGAGGACACATGTGGAAGCTGGAAACGCAAATAAGTCGAAGGGACGTAAGGAAGTACTCATGCCCTGTACAGGTAATCGAGTGGAATGATATAAAAGAAGAATTTGTGGAAGCCACCTCCATCCACAACTTTAAATTCCGACAAAGAATTTAAAAATCAGAATAGTTAAGATAAAAGCCAACAGGTACAAGGCTAGTAGGAGAGGCATAAGGAGCTAGTCATTCTTCTGTAAACACTGATCGGTAAATTAGAGGAGGTTGAGGGTTGACTTTGGGGTTCATTTTTTTTGGAAAGGGGGGGGGGGGCGGCGAGCTGGAATAGTGACCCCGTGTGAGAGAGACAATCACCTCTGACAGCTTTCGTTTGTTGATCAACCGTTGGGCATCGGATCGAAGTCGGAGAAGGTGTTTTCTGTCCCACTTACGCCTCGCCACCGATTTCACCTGTACAATAGGTGCGCCCACACCCCGCCCGCGCCCCCCACTCGCCCCATGACACCTCCAGCAGCTGTGAGGGGCGTTATCTGCGTGGAGGGGGTCACTGCTCCCCGGTAGATGACGGCTGCTAGGGGTGAAAAGGGTTGGTGCAGTGTATCCTCTTATCTTTATGGGGTCATTGTAGGGTTATCCCACCTGGCCGTAGGGTTCAAATGGTTGTGGGGTCATGTCCAAGTTACCTGTAGTTCAGTGGTCAGCTTAGTCAGTTCACAATTGAAGGTTCTTGGGCTTGATTCCCTTCACTTGATGCTTCTGTTCAGCTAGCAGTGAATAGTTACCTGGGGGTTCAGTAACTTTTGTGGGGTGTAGCATAGAGCATGTCAGTGGTTGGCCTGGGTGACCTTGATAAGCCTAACAGGCTTCCTGTCTCCAACGATGGACAATCATCCCACAGTTTGGTCAGATCGCGCACAGGAATTAGGTGTTTCGACAAAACTCATTTTCTAATTAAACTGCGTATATTGTTAGGTTAAGCTAGGTTAGATTGTCAGGTTAGGTTGGGTTAATTTAAATTGGATTGCTTTAGAAAATGTTGTATTAGGCCAAGGTAGGCTTGGTATCTTTTAAAATCTATGGTGAACCATCTCGTTTTCAAGGTGACCTGTATCTATCCCACCTGACTGAAAAGTACTGTAACTTGAAGTGTATTTAATAGAAACAGGCTTTTATGTATTTAATTTTGGCTTTAAGATATCTAACTAATATCATTTGAGTAATGGAGCTGATAAACGTGCAGTTTCACATAGGAAATAATTATAATTGATTTCTTGGCACATGAAATTAGACAACAACATTATTACAATTGCTAATTTTCTTATGGATATTTTCCACACTACGTAAATACCTTCTATCGTCTAGAGGGTGTAAATCACAGTCTTCCCATTTTATTTTGATATTTTGTCAGCATGATATCTTAAGGAATTTATCTGAATTTACTTGAGGGCCACTAACATTCTAGTGGCCTCAATGAGGACAGCAAGCCAGTGGCTTGTCAAAGGTTCCAACATTTGCCCTAATGATTTTTTCCAGCTGGATTTTAAAATTTAATGGTTTTGACATCTACAGCTTCGGCAGGTATGTGGTGCCATGGGTTTATAACCCTGTGGGTGTAAAAACCATCTCCTGTTTTCAGTCCTCCCAGTCCAGTTTTACCCCGAGTACCTCTACCACCTCATTTATAGAGTTAAGGAGTTTCGAGCATACGCGGTCCTCTCAAATGAACAATGCAAATCTACTCTGTGATCTATTTGTCCTATCACATCTCTATAGATTATATTTTTATAGCCATATATCTCTGTTCATGAATTCTCCTGCATGCATTTCTGCACAAGCTCCTCTTTCTTCTTGGTCTGTAAAATTATTTGACTCTTCCAATGCCATTTTCCTGTTTGCCACACTTTGTGTAACATTCTGTACTTTTCATGTGAAAGTCTGGGCAGCTGAGCTCATATCATTTGCCTTTCTCGAGTGAGGGAAAGAATGTCTGGATGCAAATACAGGTATATACCTGCATGTTGATCCAAAATTATATTTCCCCTTCCTAAGTATTTTTAGACATTTTCTGGGAAATGAGGTGCTGCATTCTAATACTTTCCTCTTCCCAGAACATCTAAGAAATTAGACAAAATACTAATGTCTTCTAATTAGAACAATTAGAACAAAACAAAAAAATTAGTGGAATTCTAAAAGACCAATATGAGGCTATGTTTAGCACACCAATGAACAGCATGAAAGTTGAAGTTCAGACAGCTTCTTTATGAATGACCTCCAAGCTGCAGATTATATAACGGATATGAACGCAAACTCGGAAGACTTTGAAAGGGAAATTTACAACATGCCCATGCTCTCTGCCCTTGGTCCTGACTCGTGAAATTCAATATTCATAAAGAAATGTAAGTACCAGTAGCGCGATCGCTTAATGTAATATGGAGAAAGAGCTTGGATACAGGGGAGATACCAACAGCACTTATATCAGCAGATATAGCTCCTCTGCACAAGTGAGATAGTAAAGCTTTGGCAAAAAACTATAGACTAGTTGCGCTAACATCACACACACAATAAAAGTTTTTGAAAGAATTAATAGGAATCAAATTTCCAGCTTTATGGAAAATGATGGACTACACAACCCAGGACAACATGGATTTAGAGCGGGAAGATCCTGTCACAGTTACACAACCACTATGACAAAATCATGGAAGCCTTAGGAGATGAGCAAAATGCAGATGTTGTATACACAGACTTTGTAAAGGCATTCGACAAATGTGACCATGAAGCGATAGCCCATAAAAGGAGATCAATAAGAATACTGGGTAAAGTGGGGCATTGGATTTTTAACGTTTTGTCAAACAGAATGCAGAGAGTGATGGTGAATCAAATAAGAGCAAGGTCAAGTGCAGTGAAAAGCTCTGTATTCCAGGACACAGTCCTTGCACCACTGCTATTTCTCATTCTTAATTTGGATATATAGACAAAAATACTAGTCACAGCTTCATGTCATCTTTTGCAGATGATACAAAAATCAGCATGAAAATTGCCTCTATAGAAGACACTGAAAAACTGCAGGCAAATATTAATAAAATCTTTGATTGAGCAACTTAAAATAACATGTTTAACGATAAGTTCTAGGTACAATACTTAACCCTTCCACTGCTCAGGGGTCCAGAGGACATTTACACCCCTGTGCACAAGAAAAAAAAATTCAAAATTTTTTTTTCGTCTTCTAAACATGTTAATTTGTGTCCCCTGAGCATGGGAAAAATAAAAAAGAAATCGTAGGTGACATATTTTGGGCGCAATTGACCGAGGAAGTCTGGCAAAAAGTGGGCGTTGACAGAGCGGTCGTCAGAGCCGGTGTTCACGGATGTGTCGTCTCTTGGCTTGGGCTTTGTGACCAGTGCTCACCAGGCTGGCCAGGGACAATGAGGTCCGTCCTTCCGTCGTGCTCACAGCACGGTGCGGGAGTTCGCAGCTGTGTGGCAGTCGCTCTGGAGGATTCGGGTTGATTGCAAATTGATGCTCCGGTTCTATTCGAACTGTTCCCTGGTGGTTCATTGCCTGAACCGCGGGGTTTCGCTACGGTCCTTGGCTCTTTGGGGCTGGTCGCTTCGGACGACTCGTCTGCTGAGTTCTCGGGGTTTGGCTCTCCTAGCAGTTCATGTTTGGGGGTGTCCAAAGTCTTGGTAGACGGCCTGTCACAGTTCATTCCCCAGTCCACCGAATGGACGGTCGACGTCAACTCGTTCACTTGGCTCTGCCAGACGTTCGAGACCTCCAGAAGTGGACCTCTTCATATCGACGTAGTCGAGGTGTCTCCCAGTATATGTGGGGCCCTTCCTCGACTGTGAGGCTGTCGGGATCGACGCCTTCAGGTAGGACTGGGCGTGGTGGGGTTACCTGTACCTCTTACCCCCAGTTCAGCTGTTACTCCAGGTCCTGGCTCGCTCGGAGACTTACCAGGGTAGAGTTGTCCTCCTGATCCTTGGTGGCCGGTCCAGCCTTAGGTTCAGGTGCTGCTTGCTTGGTGTCCAAACCCAAGGGTCTTCCAGCTGCTCCGCCTCTTTCAGCAGATCGGTCCAGTCTGGTACGAAGCTGGTTCATTCTTCTCCTCAAGTCTTCGTGTCTGGTTTTTCAACTCAAATCTATCATCACTTGTATGGTGCGCAGGTGCCATCATTGATGGTTTCCCACCTGCATGCTTTGTCTCGGCGGCAGTAAGAAGTTGCCTGGCAGTCCTTCCATTTTTTCCTATCTCTGCATAGGTGTACTTTGGTCTCTGATAGGGTTATCTTGTCCTTCCTTTCGTGGTTGTTTCAGGACCGTCATCTTATGCCGAATACTGTCGCTTCGTATTGTGTGGCACTGGCGAAGTCGCTGCAGCTTGCATTCAGTATTGATATTACTTCTGCTCTGTTCCACAAGCTGTCTCGTATGTTGTTTCACCTCCGGCCTGCTCATGTGCCGCCTGAGCAATCCTGGTCATTGGACAGGGTGTACTTTTTTTTTTCTTTCTTCTCCTCGGTTTGTAGTGGCCCCTTCGGTTCATGATTGTTTTTCTAAGGCTCGTTTCCTGTTGGCATTGACCTCTGGGGGTCGGGTCAGGGAGTTTCATACTCTCCTCCGGCCAAGAGGTTTCTGCTCTTTTGATCCAGGTGGTAGGTTTGTTCATTTGGAGCCGTCTCCTTTTCTGGTAAAGAATGAGTCTGCTGCATTCCAAAAAGGTCCTTGGGTTGTCGATGCTTGGTTGGACAGGCCGGAGGGGTGCATCATATGTTGTGTCCGGTTGCGGCTTTCCGCTGTTATCTACACGCCATGGCTTTGGTGGCCGGGGACGTGCTTTGGGTTGACCCGATTTTCCTTCTTCTCCTCTGTTCTTGGGCACAGGTCTCCCAGGTCGTCCGCTGGGTTATCAAGTTTAACCAGCCTGCGGTCTATCCTCGTGCCCACATTATTCGGAAGTTTGCTGCTTTAGCTGCGGTCTTCAGTAACATGTCTTAGGTTGACATTTAGGTGCGGGGTTTATGGAAGTTGAACAGGATCCTGGCCGCTCGTTACCTTGTCAATGTTCCAGGGCCTCGTAGGGCCTGTTGCATTGGGTCGGCGGTTGCAGCCAGTTGCCTTGACTTTATGTAGAGGATTGAGGTTCGACTGCCTCACGGGTAAGTCCCTGTTTTCTGTTGTCTTTGGGTAGTTTTAGGGGGAGTCAATGGGGCTTCCCCCAGAAAACCATCATTGAATGTAATGAAACACCATTTTCTGGGTTTGACCCGGAGGCTCCCAGCATCCCTTCTTCCCTCCTGTCGGCGGTGTTTTCGCATGTTTTGACATCCAGCCTCAGAACTGAAGGGTGGATCGCTGGCACGAGGGTCTGAGGCTCCCCCTTTCCCCTCTCGGGGAGGAGGGGGTTGCACAGACAGCGGCGCGGCTACGTGATGACATCATGCTAGTTTGCCAAGTTTCATTTGTCGAGTTCTGTCCACTCATTCGACTTTCAATAGCAATATTTTCACTAGAATAGGGATTTGTTTTGGGGCACTTACCTTTCTGGGTGCCTGACCCCAGTCGATGGCAGACATAGAATGCTCCCATCCACATGGGGGCTTCTATAGGCTCCTCGTGCCTCTCTGAGGGGGCCAGGTTCTGGATCATGGTCCCCGGTAGGCCGAACTCCATGCACTTTGATGCCAGAAAGCTAATATATCCATATAGGCCTGGATAGCTCTGGGGAGCCTCCAGGTCACACCCAGAAAATGGCGTTTCATTGCATTCAACGCTGGTTTTGTGATAGTTCTATGATATAGTGCTAAATAGTCTTCCAGACATAATGTCGTCTTTTGATAATCATCTTTCCTGTCAATTTTTTATATTTTTATAGTTATTTTGATTTCAGGTGCTGCATACCCAACTTGACAATTTTGGTGCTATTAGATGCCATTACTTTACTGACTCCAAAAATGAAGCTTTGAAAGACAAGAAATTACTCAGCACTTATGAATTTGCATTGGAGTGAGTGTAGTATGTATTAAATTATCTTATTAATTGTGATATTTTATATTGTAATTCAGTATATTCATTCCAACTGAACAAGATCTTGTTCTCAGGTGAAGGAATTGAATAATAATATTTATAAAGTGGGGCCTGATAAAATATTTTCAGAGCTATTGCTTTCTAAAATTTCTTTGCTTGGACCACCTCTGCGTGCAATAATGCTAGTGCAGAATGGTCAACTGCTCGCAGTGGTTATCAACAAGTGTAAAGTAATTAGAACAACAGCACAAAATCCAAAGTAAGCTTCGCCCAATTATAGGTCATGTCTAACTCCACCAACAACTCTAAGCAACGAATCAGAGTTTTGGTTGTCATCAATATTTTTATTTGGTGTAGTGCTAACATAATATGGATCCCATTTGTGGGAATTACAGATTTATATGATTGAGAAGGGATTCACTTACACAACTATGTATATCTTAAAATAGCAAGTTTATTACATCTAAACATATACTGCATGCATATATATATATATATATATATATATATATATGTCGTACCTAGTAGCCAGAACGCACTTCTCAGCCTACTATGCAAGGCCCGATTTGCCTAATAAGCCAAGTTTTCATGAATTAATATTTTTTCGGCTACCTAACCTAACCTAACCTAATGTTTTCGGCTACCTAACCTAACCTAACCTATAAAGATAGGTTAGGTTAGGTTAGGTAGGGTTGATTAGGTTCGGTCATATATCTACGCTAATTTTAACTCCAATAAAGACAAATTGACCTCATACATAATGAAATGGGTGCCTTTATCATTTCATAAGAAAAAAATTAGAGAAAATATATTAATTCAGGAAAACTTGGCTTATTAGGCAAATCGGGCCTTGCATAGTAGGCTGAGAAGTGCGTTCTGGCTACTAGGTACGACATATATATATATAATATATATATATATATATATATATATATATATATATATATATATATATATATATATATATATATATATATATATATATATATATATATATATATATATATATATGTCGTACCTAGTAGCCAGAACTCACTTCTCAGCCTACTATTCATAGCCCGATTTGCCTAATAAGCCAAGTTTTCCTGAATTAATATATTTACTATAATTTTTTCTTATGAAATGATAAAGCAACCCTTTTCTCTATGTATGAGGTCAATTTTTTTTTATTGGAGTTAAAATTAACGCAGATATATGACCGAACCTAACCAACCCTACCTAACCTAACCTAACCTATATTTATAGGTAAGGTTAGGTTAGGTAGCCAAGAAAAGCTAGGTTAGGTTAGGTTAGGTAGGTTAGGTAGACGAAAAAACATTAATTCATGAAAACTTGGCTTATTAGGCAAATCGGGCCTTGAATAGTAGGCTGAGAAGTGCGTTCTGGCTATTAGGTACGACATATATATATATATATATATATATATATATATATATATATATATATATATATATATATATATATATGTCGTACCTAGTAGCCAGAACGCACTACTCAGCCTACTATGCGAGGCCCGATTTGCCTAATAAGCCAAGTTTTCATGAATTAATTGTTTTTCGACTATCTAACCTACCTAACCTAACCTAACTTTTTCGGCTACCTAACCTAACCTATAAAGATAGGTTAGGTTTGGTTAGGTAGGGTTGGTTAGGTTCGGTCATATATCTACGTTAATTTTAACTCCAATAACAAAAATTGACCTCACACATAATGAAATGGGAACCTTTATCATTTCATAAGAAAAAAAATAGAGAAAATATATTAATTCAGGAAAACTTGACTTATTAGGCAAATCGGGCCTTGCATAGTAGGCCGACTACGGCGTTCTGGCTACTAGGTACGACATATATATATATATATAATATTATATATTATATATATTATATATTATATATATATATATATATATATATATATATATATATATATATATATATATATATATATATATATATATATAGAAGCTTCCTCTTCGGGTTTTTCGGGGTTCAGTGCCTTAGCGCCTACCCGAGCCCTCGCTCGATGTGTTCAAGGACGCGTCGTCTCTTGGCTGGGGCTTTGTGTCCAGTGCTCATCAGGCCGGCCAGGGATGGTGAGGTCCGTCCTTCCGTCGAGCTCACAGCTCTGTGCGGAGGCTTCGAGTCGCGAGTTTTGGCGGTCGAACAGGGTCCTGGCTGCTCGTTACCTTGTAAACGTTTCTGGGCCCAGTCGGGCTTGTGTTGCTTTAGGTCGGCGGATGCAGCCAGTTGTCTCGACTTCTCGTTGAGGAGTGAGCGGCAACCGCCTCCCGGGTAAGTCCCTATTCTTTTCCTCTGTGGGTAGTTAGCTCCGGAGAGCCGTAGGAAAACCAGCGTTGAATGTAATGAAACACCATTTTCTGGGTGAGTCCTGGAGGCTCCCCGGCATCCCTCCCTCCCTCTGGTCGGGGGGTTTTCGCGTGTTTTGACATCCAGCCTCAGAACTGGGGTGTGGGTCGCCGGCGAGGTGGGTCTGGGGCTACCCCTGCCCCCTCCTGGGGAGGGGGGAGCTGCGTAGACAGTGGCGCGATGACGTCATACTAGTTTGCCCATTTTCGTTTGGGGAGTTCTATCTACTCTTTCAGTCTTTGGTTGCAATTTTCACCAGAATAGGGGTTTGTTTTGGGACACCTACCTTTCTGGGTGCCTAACCCAGTTGATGGCAGACATAGAATGCTTCCAATCACACGGGGGTTCTATAGGCCATTGCTCTCCTTGCCTCTCTAGAGAGGCCAGGCTCTGGCCCGTGGCCCCCGGTAGGCCCATAAGTACTCCGTACACATGACTGATGCCAAAAGTCTGACATTAGCATATCAGCCTGGTAAGCTCTGGGGAGCCTCCGGGACTCGCCCAGAAAATGACGTTTCATTACATTCAACGCTGGTTTTTTGTCTCTTTGTAGATTGTCTTCGATTTCTGATTCGGTTGTTTTGTCCTTTCTCTCTCTTGGCTGTTTCAGGACTGTTATCTTATACCAAATACTATCGCCTCGTATTGTACGGTGCTGGAGCCGCTTCAGCATGCATTCGGGGTGGATGTCACTTCTGCTCTGTTCCGCAAGCTTTCTCGTGTGTGTTTCACCTCTGGCCTGCTCATGTGCCACCTGAGCCGTTCTGGTTATTGGACCAGGTGCTCTTCTTATTTCTCTTCTCCTCAGTTTGTGGTGGCCCCTTCAGTTCAGGATTGTTTTTCTAAGGCTCTTTTTTTTTCTTGTTGGCATTGTCCTCTGGGGGTTGGATCAGGGAGCTTCATGCTCTCCTCCAGCTCGGGGGTTTCTGCTCTTTCGGTCCAAGTGGTAGGTTTTTTTGTTTGCAACCATCGCCTTCTTTTCTAGCATAGAAACTGCTGCTTTGCAGAGGGGTCCTTGGGCTGTTGATGTTTGGTTGGTTTGGGCAGGGGGGGTAAATCATGTATTGTCTGCTTGTGACTTTTCGCTGTTACTTGCATGTTGGGGACACATTTTGAATGGACCCGGTTCCCTTCTTCCCTGTTCCAGGAGGCAGGTTTCCTAGGTCTTTTTTTTTTTATCTTTGGTTAGGTAGCTCTGGGGTTCCCCACAGAAAACCAGTGTTGAATGTAATGAAACACCATTTTCTGGGCGAGTCCCGGAGGCTCCCCGGCAACCCTCCCTCCCTCCGGTCGGCGGTGTTCATGTTTTTGAGTTCAGCATCTGAACTGGGGTTGGAAAGCCGGCACGGAGAGGGGGTCTGGGACTCCCCCTTCCCCCTCCCGGGGAGGGGGAAAGCTGTTCAGATCTGTTCAGACAGGAGTGCGATGACGATGGTGATGTCATGCTCGTTTGCTTATTTTCAGTTTGGGGAGTTTTGCTTGCTAGTTCAGCTTTCGGTCAAAATTTTTAACCAGCTATAGTTTGTTTTGGGACGCCTACCTTTCTGGGTGCCTAACCTGGTAGATGGCAGACAGAATGTTTCCAACCACATGGGGGGTTTCTATAGGCCATTGCTCCTCGTGCCTCTCTGAAGAGGTCAGGTTCTGGCTCGTGGTCTCCAGTAGGCTAAGAATTCTAATAAAATTGACTGATGCCATGGTCTAATATATACTTAACAGCCCGGTATAGCTCCAGGGAGCCTCCCAGACTTGCCCAGAAAATGGCATTTCATTACATTCAATGCTTTATTTTTTTTTTCTTTTAGGAACCTTGCAGTTGTCTGTGAAACTTCACTGACTAGATGCTTTCCTGATGAGGGTGATGTTAATAATCTCCCCCTGCTATCTGCAGCTCTTTAGGGAGGAGGCCCAGGTTCCAATTCTGGTCCCTGGTAGGCCAAACAGCACTGCATTATTGATGTAACCTAGTGGTTGGGAGCAATCTTCGTGAGATGGCTTTAGGGAGCCACCAGGGCTCTACCTGAAAGAGGCATTTCATTACATTCATTTTAAACTTTAGATATACATTTAGATCTTTTTGCTTTCAGGTCAGGATGTGCTGTTCAAGAAAAAAGAAATTTAATTACATATTGACTATGAAGATGTAGGTTCTTGTAATAAATTGCAAGAAAATTTGAAAATAAAATATTTTCTTAAAGTTATGATGGGACAATACATGAAAACAAACAATTATGCTTGTGGAAAATAAATTAGAACACATATCAGAGCATGTGTGTTGGAGATTGTAACTTTTTAAATAGCCTTATGCAGAATGGTTGACTGGGAAACTGGCAATTTAAGACTGCATGCAGGAAGAATGCATGCAGTGATAAAGGCCTCCAATTCTTTCCCGGTAAGTGAAATGTTCCAAGATGATGATGCTGAACTTAATGTAATGGATTTTGTTGAAACCGAGTACAAATCTGATAAGTGTGAAGATACAGGAATTAGACAAAGTCTGTCTGTTACCTCAGAACATTATAGACAGAGAAAAGTAAGGTCCAATTGTGGAGTTCCACATGGTGACCCAAATATTAGATACAATACTAGAGTAGATTCTCTACCACATTTTACACACCAATTAATAAACAGAAAAAAGAAAAAGAAATCTGTACTAAATTCTTCTTTTGCTGTGGGACAAAGTAATAATTTAGATGTTTCTCTGCATTTTCCATATGCGACTTATTTGAAAACACTTTGTGATGAAGTAGGCGATGTTCAAAATCCAATGTCTGATTCCTTTCCCTCAAAAATATTTGATCAGCTTCGGCATGCAAATGTACATTATCCATATGCATCTCTTCTAGAGGAACTTCATCAGAATGCTGAAATTGAGGCCTCTAATGTTCCGTCCACAGTCGAAGAATTGTATCAGCAGGACTCGCAAGAACTGGGAATTGCAGATGTTATGAGAAGTCTTCACTATCCAACCAAAGTGAATGAAAACTCCAGCAGTGCAGAAGGTTCTCAAATTGAAAGCTTTGATGCACCATTTAGTACTATGTTATTGGGTATGGTTATGCAACAAAAAATCCAGGATTATGCATGCAATCATTTTGATAGAGTGACTCCAGTCAGTAATTTCCGTGGTATAGGTGATATCCTAAAAACCTTCATGCCAAAGACACAAGATGATGACCCTCCTCCAAGTGAATTGTATTCCTCTGCTTTACTTCAGAAATTTTCTCTTAGTGCACAGGATGAAAAGGTAATGCATGGGAACAACTCCTTCCCTGAGAGCAGTGATGAGGAACAGGAGCAAATATTGTTGTGGTCTACGTCTGAGTCGTCACACAGTGAAGACGATGACTTTGAATGGAAACCTACAAGTTGGAAGGCCAAGAAAGTGACTAATGTTGTAGACATTCCAAAGAAACGTAAATCAAGGAGAAAGAAAAAGAGAGTTGTTAAAACTGATTGTTACTCAGATTTGAATGTTCCTAGCTCTTCTCAAAATGATTTTAATTGCACTGGTAAACAATATTCATGTTCAACAAGAAAAACTGAAAATTCTATACATAACCCATCATCAGCATTATCATCTAGGCTCTTGCAGCTTATTATGGGTAATCCTCGCAAGGCCTCAGAGAAACCTTTAATTGGAGAATCTGACAAGATTTTGCTAACTGAGGAAAGGAAAAGTATATCATATAGATGTAATTTAAGGCGTAGTAAAAGAAAAGCAAATAGAAACAATACACAAAATAACATAGAGAAAGTGAGTCTCTGTTGGGGAAACAAACTGCAGGATAATGATGGGGGCTTGCAAAACAAACAGCAAAAGCAAGTTAAAGAGGAAGTTTTGTCAGTGAGCAACAGTGAGATGGAAGACAACGACCCTCTGTATGAATTGCCATGTAGTGCAAAATGCAGTGAACCACAGTCTCTTTTAAAAGAATATCTTCTTAAGCCAGCTGGTGAGGAGAGACTACAGACTGAGAACTGTGATATACCTAAAGTTGAAACAAATTTTCTTTTTAGTCGTTTACTACAAAATTTCAAAAATTTAGCTGAATCTAGCAGCACTGATAACAATTGCAAAAAAGGTCAAGAGAGTTGTACTGGTCCGAGTATCTTAAGAGGAATGCTTGTTGGAGGGAATAGTAGCAGTGAACTCGGTAGACAAAACTGTGCAGAAGAAGAAATGCAAAATGATGGCAAAAGCTTCATCGAACATGTAGATGTTTCATCCATTCGAGAATGTTCTTCCCAGAATTCTCTTTTTGATAAAAGTGGTTCAGTGTGTAAAGTTAAATGTGAACAAGATATTAAAATGGAAATTGAGGAAGAAGTCCTTTGTAAACTTGAGTGTGAGGAAGATAATTTTGAATGCCAAGTTTGTCATCTTCAGTTTTCTTCTGGAATGGATCTTTCCAACCACCAAATACTGTTTCACTGTAATGAGGATCCCCAGACTTCCTCCTCCCACACATTGTTACCATGTAGTGCTGATAGTCTGCAGAGTAAAATTCTACAGGAGAAATTACCAGCCTGACAATGGACTGTGATGAGAGTACATTGCTTCCCTGTGCTTCCCACAATCATTCAGTTATCATCATGCCATGTTGGCACTTCCCATGTGCACTGTGCAATATGTACAAATATTTTAGGATAAGTATATAGTTTTCTTTTTTTATTCAAAAACTATAAATATGTATTTAATAGAAACTGTTAGTGTCTTGAAAATTATGAATGTAATTGAATTGTTTATTGTATGTGGTACAGCTACTTAGTATTAAGACTGAGTCCGTCCATAGGAAACAGCCCATTGTGTAAGTAAACTGTTCTTTCATTCAAAGGCTGTTATTCAGGAAGTGTGTGCAATTACTAGGTAAATATATTGTGATATGGAGTGAATTTCGATCAGGTGGGAGTTAGCTTCTTCCATTGCCCCTGTGCTGTTAAAGTAAAATGTGTGTTAGTAGTCTGCCATTTTTTTGTAATGAAGCAAAATATATTGGTTTGGGTAAATTTGAGATTATATTAATTACGGTATGTTTTAAGTAAAATATAGTTTTATCAAATATGCGCTATGTATAAGGCGACTTTGGTAGTATCAACTGACAAACAGTATACTCTTGAAACTATTCGTGTTTGAGAACTGTGTAAGTGTTTGAAATAATCATATTTTATTAATGACAATATAAAGAAGAGATGCTATATTTCTTGTATATTTAAGATGGAGTAAGTAATTTTAGATATTTGATTTATTGAAGCTGTTATAATGCCAAAGAAATTTTATTGGTTAAAATTATTTATTGTCTAATATATTGATCTCATTGACTGTATTGCAATCATGATCCAAGACTAAATATAATGCTCATATGTGGGTTTGATATCCACTTTTTGTTGGTACGTAATGGTTAAAATGTTCAAATTTTTCTTATATTAAAATGTAGTTCAGTGAAAATATGTATTTTTAATGTTATTCAGTTTTCTTATACAGTACAGTAATTACAAATTAATTAAAGGTATATTATTTATTGTTTGCATTTGTATGTGGCTGTAGATTAGTCAGGACCAAAAATGTTAACAATTTTTTTTTTACTGTGGAAAGCTTATTTTAACAATAATATAATTGTATCAGCATCTTCAGTGGAAATTATACCTGTGATTCATTATATTGTTTTAGCAGTAAATTATAATTATATTGCTGTATTGATATTTAAACCGTTTTTAGTTCAATGAGCAACTTTAAAATACATTTTAGAAAAGGTTCTGTAGTTATCTATAACTCCATGCAAATCACTACTTTTGTGCATGAAATTTCATTACCAAATAGTTAATCTGCAAATGCCATAAGTCAGTTTGGCAAAGTTAGTTTGTAATAGCATCAAAGGAAGGACACATGATAGAGAGTCTTGCAGCTGATGGTAGATATTTTATGGCCAAAATTAGACATTGTAGTTGATTTTTGTTAACACATTTTTCACCTGAAATAACATGTATTGTCCACGAACTATTTTAGTCTCCATAAACTACTTATAAAATAGTTTCTTCCAAATGGCACATCTCAAGTATAGAAATGATTCTATTTTGAGCCAGTATAAATTGTGTTCATGTACTGGTACCGTACAAAATCAAAAGGTGTGGGCCAATACCATTGGCTTTTAACCTCAAGTACTGTCACTCTACATTCTATATTTTTGTTGGCCTGTATAACCAAATTTATTTGACATTATATTTGTGTTGTTTTGATGATGAGCCTCGTCATCAACCAGGCTTATAAAGATTACCAAATTTAAGATTTTAATTATAAATATCAATTAGTGTGTTCCATTTTCCTTAATATTTTGTTACCCTGTTTACCAAGTGTATTATTTATTTTGTATTTTTACCCAAAACTGTTTATTGTTACTAGAATTTTAAATTATGTATATTTTAATTATATAATTGAAAATTGGTACCTGCGTATTGTTTTGCAAAACATTCACTTTAGGGGTTAGCTTTGAGAAAGGTTCTTGGTGCATTTAAGGAACATGGAAGTTGAAGCAAAATATTAACAATAATCTTAAAAAATTATGACTTTAGATAATGTGCGTGAGTCCTATCCAAATTCTGATAAATCTAATATTTACCCAAAGGAAGTTTCATGTGCGAAAGACTTCAACTTGCCAGATGTCAGCTTCCTGTTCTCTTGTTATTCTGCTGTATATTCATTAGTGATGATCCCTTTCCCAATTTATATGTACATTATTGTTTCTGTGCCAAGGAAGCTATTTATGTATGTTAATTGGGCTGTTTGTCTCTGAAGACCTATTTTTGTTACAACACTTATGCGGTATTGTGTTTCATGTGCATATTTTGTTGCTATCAATTTAACATGCAATCTTTTTCATGATTTTATTCAACTTGATTATATTTCATTATATGCTCGAAGTTTTCCGTTTTCAGTCCTTGATTCTTGTGACATCACACTGGCCTAGTTAGTATCAGAAACCATGGCAGATGCATCATTTCAGTATGAACTTGTAGTATTTTTTTTTTTTTTTTTTTTTTTGTAGATACTTCTCTAGTAGCAGTGTATATGTGTACAGATTCAAACAAAATACATATAAATTAGATACAATGCTATATAGAAAACTTTTAATATCCATGATTATAGGTTGAAAATTGTCATTAATGAAAAGTTTATTAAAGTTATTTTATTGGGTTCTTGTAATGAATACTTCACCTTGCAACTTTAATTGTATTTAAATAGTATAATTTTATATTTTCCTTCATTTCATGTGTTCTAACAATTGCATATGGGTATAAAGCCTGCACATATTTCAACAAGGGTAAGTGGGAAAACCTTATGGCAAAATAAGTGTTTGAGAGGAGGAAGAACAGCAGGAGCCAGCAATTTAGAAATATTTAGTTTTAGTATTTTGAAATTCATCAGAAGAAAGCTAAAAATATTAACAGTGTTGAATTTATCACTATTACTTCACTTTCTCGTGATTGTTCTTTATGAAGCCATTGACATGTTGGCAAATGATGGTGCAAATTACAGATCTTTTTCACTTTAAATATTCATAAATTTTAGGAAGGAAAAAATAGGTAAGTAAAGATGCAGTCATGTTCATTGGTGTGTACATTGTAACATTGTCCTGGCAGACTAGCTGGGCCCGATCCCCATCCAGTCCAACAAGAACCTGGGTTTTCCGAGTATGTTTGCTATTTATCGAGTTTCTGCATTTTCCCACCCCTAATAATAAGATGTATAGACTATCATATATTGTATATACAAAACTTTTTAAATGTACTGGAAGGTTAGATGAAACGAATGTGCAACAGTATGCAATTCAAAGTACAAAATTTCTACTAAGATGTTTAATGAATTGCTTATAAGCAGCTTAATATAACTCGACTCATACTTTTATTTCTTGAGCACTTAACCTTGTTCATTTGCTACCCCGTTATGTTATTTTTACTTACTTTTGATGTCAGAAACTAGTATTGCCGATACCAATTGTTTTTGCCAAATGCCTCGCTCCAAGCTTGCTCACTCTTTTCAGTTGGTTTATATTTCCTTATATGTAAAGGCAACAACTGTTTTCTTTGCCTGTTTTAACCTGCTATGCATGAAGACAGATTCTTTCCTTCTACTGCAATATGCCTAAGCAAGGTTACAGTACATGGTATATATTTTATGGCAGAAATGAAGGCTAATTCTTTTTTACTTTCTTAACCCTAAGGTGGTACCCTCGAGTGCCTAAACTTTGTGCACATCCAAGCATTAAAAAAAAATTATTTATATAAATTAACAGATTTATATTAATGTAGAGAATAAATATAATGATTAATAATGAATAGTAATATATGAAAATTAACATTTTGGCATAAATATTTTACAGCTAAGATTAAATTTTTTAATACAGTATGGGTGAGAGGTTTGGCAACCATCGCCACCAACACTACCTCCCTCCCCACAAACACCAACACTCTCCCTTCCCTCCCTTCTTGCCACCACCACTCTTCTTCCCTCACCATCAATACCCTCATCACCAACAGCCTCCCTCCACCACCACTAACACCCTCCCTTTCTCCCTCCCACACCACCACCAACACTCCCTGCCTCTCCCCCTCAATGAATCCCTCCATCAATCACTGCCTCCCCTCCCTCCCTCAATGCCTTCGAGGTCGGTGGCCTGTTGCAATGTGATGGCCTGCGATACCAAAACAAACCCAATACCGACCTGCAGTTATATCGACCGCCAGACTACAAAACTCAAATCATAACATATAACGAAAAGGCAATGTAAAGGATTTGGGTGTACTCATGTCGGAAGACGTTACCTTCAAAGAACACAATAAAGTAGCCGTCATAACTGCAAGAAAAATGACATTTTGGATAACAAGAACCTTTCACACTAGAGATGCTATACCGATGATGATACTGTTCAAGACACTAGTGCTCTCTAGAGTGGAGTACTGTTGCACAATGACAGCCCCTTTCAAAGCTGGAGAAATTGCTGACCTGGAAAGCATGCAGAGATCCTTTACTGTTAGAATCCACTCAGTAAAACATCTAAACTACTGGGACCGACTAAAGAGCCTAAATCTGTGTTCTCTTGAGAGGAGGCGGAAGAGATACATAATAATTTATACGTGGAAAATATTGGAGGGGCTGGTCTTAAACCTGCACACAGGAATAACATCACATGAGACTAGGAGGCATGGCAGGATGTGCAGAATATCCCCGTTGAAAAGCAGAGGTGCAGCAGATACTCTGAGAGAGAACTTTATCAACATCAGAGCTAGGTACTGTACTCTGTATTTGTTGACATCAAAAGAGCCTTCGACAAAGCACAGGGGATTGCGATCCTGGACGAGCTTGCATGCATGGGTGTCAAGGGGAGATTCATGAAATGGGTTGAAGACTACCTCACAGGAAGGAAAGCCAAGGTTTGCTTCAATGGAGCAGTCTCCAGAACAATGAATATGGAACTCGGGACCCCCCAAGGCGGAGTCTTAAGCCCTACACTATTCAATGTACTTATGAACGCCATTGCAAATATTGATTTTCCGGAAGGAACACAACAAGTGGGATATGCAGATGATGTCCTAATACAAGCTCCCACCTTGGGAAAGATTGTACAGCCCACTGAACTCCTTGGAAGGAAATGTATTGAGCTCGGTTTCGCTCTCCACAAACAAGACGAAGGCATACTCCCATCACAAGCGGAGAGCAAATGAAGAACTGCAAATTAATGGTGTAACACTTAAATGGGTTGACCACTATCGGTACCATGGCGTCGTGTCGGCTCTAACAAGGGAAAGAAAGAGGAGCTCAATCAACTCATAGGAACATGCAAAAGTCGACTCAGGGCACTGAAAGCTATGACCTGGAATGGACATGGAGCCTCTATTGCCGTGCTTTAAATGATGTACACAACCTATGTGCGCTCCGTCATAGACTATGCCGCACCAGTTCTGTGCACCTACTCCCAAAGCTATATGAAAAGGCTTGAAAGCATTCAAAATGAAGCCATGACAATCATTCTTGGAGTTCCAAGGACTGCCAAAACGTCTAAGCTACGAGAGGAGTTGTCCCTTCCCAGTGTTAAAAGCAGAATTCAGGAGCTGAATGCTAGGCTTGCAATTAGGATAGCCAGAGATCCCCATTACAATGATATTGCTAAGAAAAAACTGAGCTCTGTGCTACTTTCAGGGGGAAACAGGAGAAGCAAAAAATGGCATCACAGATCAGTCTGCTACCTGGAAGAGCTTCACCTGCTTGAGCAAGCCCGTGAGCTCCTGCCTGTAGAGAGGTTACCTCCCTGGGAGGATGACTCATGCAAGATCATCAATGAAATGGCAACGAAAAAATCCAACATGATACCACAAGAAATGAGGCACAAGTATCTCAAGGAAATTTATAAAGAAGTCGGAGATGAACTAGCTCAAATCTACACTGACGGGTCATCTAATCCTGTCAATGGCAAGGCTGGTGCAGCATACATGGTAATCAATGATAATACTCTCCAACGCAGAAATGAAGAAAAAGCACGTATTGAGAACTATGCCTCTTCAACGCAAGCAGAGCTAACTGCCATTGTTATGGCGTTAAGGTTTCTTGAACGGAACACTAATGGTGCAGTGATTTGCGCCGATTCAAAAGCAGCACTGCAAAGCCTAAGTAAAAACGGGCAGAAAATCTTGCAATAGTCGCTGAAATTAAGAGAGCTGTGAGAGTACTTACCAATCAGGGAAGAGTCATCAAGTTTCTGTGGATCCCCTCCCATGTTGGAATATGTGGGAATGGTGAAGCAACCAGTCCTCTAAAAAAGAACGTCGCTTTTGGCCGTTTGCCCGTATGGCCGAATATGGACGTAATTTGAAAATTAAAATAAATTGAAAATAAATTTGGGATTTTTTTTTCAACAACAGTAAGTTAAGGCTCCTCTGATAGGTTAGGTGGGCAGGAAATTCTCATAAGTTTCAAAACGTTATGAAAAACGTAAATTGAAAGTTCCTCCTCTAAACTGTCCGAGGAGGGCCGGACGACTCAAACAGAAAACGGAACAGTACGTCACTTTTGTGAGTCGATTTCATTTTAAATTACGTCCAAATTTGGCCATAGTGTGCATACGAGCCAAAAGTGACGTTATTTTTAAGAGGACGAGTTAGGGAATGAACGAGCAGATGTGCTGGCTGCTGAAGGCGCTGAAGGAGACCATATTGAATACTTCATACCCAAGACTCTACTACAAATTAGAGGTATTGTCAGGCAACATCACCGTGACAAGGTAACTGAGGAAAGGAGGATAGAAGTAAGTAAGTAATTATCAAAGAAGGCACCAAACCGGGAAGGCTATGTAGCACCATCAAATACGCAAAATAATCAGAGGGCGCTAAATATCACCAAGGATGCCAATACGAGAACAAAAACGCATAAGGTGAACGATATCAAAAGTATCCGAGTCACCAAGAATTCTATCGAGGGATAGGTGACCGCGAGGGGCGGTCGGAAAGCAAGACACACGCTCGTCCTGGAAGTCAGGACATTCAAGAAGGACATGCACGACCGTAAGAGGGGCAATGCAACTAGGACAATAAGGAGCAGGGCGGCGCTCCATCAAGTGACCATGGGTTAAGCGAGTATGGCAAATACGCAACCTCGCCAGAGCTGTTTCCCACCGCCGGTTACGGTGGAAGGAGGACTGCCACGAGGAAACACAACATTTAAGAGTACGTAGCTTGTTACCAGTAACAGACAACCAAGAAGCCTGCCAACGGGCAAGGACTGAGGAATGGATAACCGGGTAAAAGTCGGAATACGGAATGCCCTTACGAGAGATGGGACAAGAGCGGACAGCTTCCTTGGCGGCAGCATCCGCACGCTCATTTAAAGACACACCAATATGGCTGGGAACCCAACAAAACTCAACCGACTTAAATTTACTGTGTACGAGAAACAGCCAATGCTGGATCTCGACAACCACTGGATGAACCGGATTAAAGGACCCGCGAGCCATGAGGGCACTACGAGAGTCAAAGGAGGATAGAAGCACAAACCAGTGAATCTATACGATGGTACAACATGGTTGCAGCTGGCAATCCCAATCATTATGGCCGAAGTGGAGGAGGACGAAGGAGAGAATCAGTAATAGCGAAAATCCGTCTTGGATACAAATATCATGGAGATATGGAATGGAAACAACAGTTGG